CTTCGATCCAGCTGCCCTAAGCGAACCGCAGAAAGGGAAAGAGAACGATATCAAGAGGGTAGTGCAGCTAACGGCACTGCCTGGCGGCGACAGGATCATCGTTCACCTCACGCTAGGGAGGTTGCAGCAGTTACGGTTCGCGACCACAATAAATGATACAGCCCTAGGTGCTATGGCTGTGGGAAAGGGGCCATCTTCGGTCCAGCTGCCCTAAGCACACCCTAGGAAGGGAAGGTGAACGGTCTCAGAAAGGAAGTGCGGCTAACAGCACCGCCCAGCAGCAGCCGGGATACGACTTTACTATCAGACATCGCAGCGGGAAATCTCATGGCAACGCAGATGTATTGTCAAGAAGACCTTGTCCTGAAGATTGCAACCATTGTAGTAGGCAAGAGAGTAAGGAAGTGGTATCCGTGAGGATGCTCAGGGCAGACCACCTCAGCAACGAGTGGAAGGACAGCTTACAATCAAAAAACAAAAAACAATTACAAAAAAAAAAAACAGCAGGATGATCCGGACATCAAGCCGATCCTGGAATGGATGAAGGCCAGTGCTCCCAAGCCCAAGTGGAGTGACATCTTAGCGATGAGTTCGACCACTAAAAGCTATTGGGCCCAGTGGGACAGCTTGCTGCTTCAGGATGGAGTTCTATGCCGTAAATGGGAAAATGTTCGAGGAGACAGCTGTCGTTTGCAAATGGTTGTCCCTAAAGCTAAAGTGCCGAATGTTCTACAGCTGTGCCATAATGGTCGTTCAAGAGTCCATCTGGGAGTTAAACTAACTCTACTGAAGGTCCGAGAACAGTTTTACTGGGTCCATTATCGTGACGATGTCGAGGATTGGTGTCGTACATGTACAAGTTGTGCGGCTGTGAGGGGAACTCAGACACGGAGTAGAGGAGCATCGAAATTGTACAATGTTGGTGCACTACGGGATAGGACATCCCTTGACATTGCGGAGCCGTTAGAGAAAGGCGCAAAGGGGACTCCTAAGATCGTCCATGTGGATCGCTTGGCGCGTTATTATGGGTCCGATAATGCTCGGGACGAGCATGTCTTAGGAGGGGGCAGTGTTACGCGCCAAAGTCGACGGCACTAGCGCCATCTAGTGTCGAACCGAAGAACTAAACTTCTTGAAGTTGAAACTCGAACTCTCGGTACCTTGCGCGTGTTTACTTGAATATTCTGGATATTTCGCTGCTAATTTATATAAATAGGCGCTGCAAGATGCGATCGGGGAAGTATTGAAATTGGCGAGACAAGCGAAGCTTCGGAGCGGAATAAAGTGAATCAGTGTGATTAATTATTAGTGTTTTTAACTTTAATTAGTGTAAAGTGAATTAAAGTGTTAATTTAGGTAATCCTATCGGCAATTTTTATTGTCACGAACCTCAAGCTCGTAACACTACTATATGGGTGCGTATTATTTTAATTACGATAGTTTTAAATGGATTTATTTATTTAGTTTAAATTTTTTGTCTTTATTTTGTTAGTACCAAAAATTTATTTCAAATTAGTAGTACTTATTGATAGATCAATTCCATTCATGTTAATGTAAAATCAAAAAAAATTGTAAAACATCATATTATCTATTCCGTTCACCTGTTACAGCCTATTTTTTCCAGACGGTAAAAAATCATCCAGTATTTTATCATATGATCATTGATATGACCAGCTTATATTTTTTTTTTTACTTTAGGTATAGTTTAAACCTGTAAAAGTACATAGTGTCTACCTATTGCAATGACTGTTTCTCCATTTGATAAAGCTTTATTTTATTACACTAATTATATTTTTACACTAATTATAATAAGAAGTAGAGTTCTTATATTAACATACTTCAAGAAATACTTAATATTGCACTCCCTTTTTTCACTTAATGACAAAAAAGACAGGTAAAGAGTTAATTTAATATTTATATATATATCGGAATCTCGGAAACGGCTTCAACGATGTTCATAAAATTTAGTGTCCAGGGAGTTCCGGGGGCAATAAATCGTTCTAGCTAGGATTTATTTTTAGAAAATGTCTTTTTGTCCGTGTTTTCAGGCAATGAAAAACTGCTACAATATAAGAAGGTAAATTTTGACACTGTGTTAATGATCGTAATAGCTCAAGTGGATATCGAGCGGTTGCGAGATCGTAATGCCTTGGTTCGCGTCCTGTCTTCGGTCCGACTTTTTTCCTTTTTTTTTCAAGTTCCCTTCTTTTATGAGAAAATCTATTATTTCGAGCCTTTTATTTAGAATTTTCAAAAATACGAAAATTTTAATTAAACTAATTGCTCTCATGACTTTTTTATTCGGATAACCAGTTTAGTTTTTTCTATTTTGTCAATAGGATCAAAAAATATTATTCATATTTCATCATTATGTAATTTGTATCTAAACATAATTTCAAAAAAAAACGAGCAAAACTCGATCATCCAGGTAAAATATTTTTATATAATAATGGGGACCAACAGGCACACACTACCCGATAGCAAATGAAAACTGTGACTATGAAATTTTACCTAAAATACGCAATAAAAATAAGTTTTTTTAAGCTGCAGTTAATTGTTTTTTTATTAAAAAGTATATTTTATTTTAAAATCTTTATTGCGTCGCCTTAGAAAAAAGGATATAAAGCTTATCGGATGAATAGAAGTAAACATAATGATGAAATAAAACATATTTTTATAAGTATTTTTATTGTACTAATAAATCAAACAATATAAAATGGGCAATAAAATATAATTAATATAAAATGTATATGAAATTAATATAATTAATATGAAATTATTAATATAAAATAGGTAATAAAATATATTTAATAGAAAATTCATGAATAAACTAAAATAAGAATAATTATTTATTTTGTATGAAATTGAAAACGTAGTTTTTATTAAAATTTCCAAAATATTTAAAATCAGAGGTATTAAATTAACTTACTCCATTAATTATATAGTCCCCCATTAATGTAGGATAATCACAAATGCGGAAAAGTGACAACATTGAACCTAAATGGCAATATTCGATAATTTTATTTAATTATTTGAGGTTTTTTACGTTTACATGAAAACAAGAACTAAAAATTATGTGTTAAAAGTTATTCCGCTTCATTTATTACGTTTTTGTGCCCTTGAATAGCATTCTTTCACTACCCATTTACAAATTTTTTGTCGCGGCTCAACTCTGTCGGCGTCACATTGAACACTGAACTGACGTTAGCTAGGCATATGGCTGTGGCCATATGTGCAGTGGCAACGCTTTGGCGCGGTTATTACTGATCTAGTGTAATATATAAATCAATTGTAATAAATTATAAAAAATATAAATATCTTAGTTAAATGTGTAATGTCATCGACAGATGGTGTTGTGGAAATGTAATACCAAAAATCAGGTTCTGTTTTTCTTTCCTGCAGATTTAATGTCGTTATAATTTCTGCTGATCTTTATAATATTTACAGGCTTATAATATACAATGTAATATTTATTTCCTAAAATATATTAACCATAAAAAGTTGTGATGTAGCTATGAGGTCAATGACAAGGGAAAAAATAAGACATTCTCCTTCATTTAAAGCAGCAGCAGGGCACAGGCATCTTCATATTTCCGAAACGGTCATGTGTAATTTATTTTGCGACTGTTATGAATTCATCGCGCAATCTTAGTGCGTGTTGACTGTTGATAAACTCATTTATTTATTTAATTTTAAATAAGTGGGTTTGCTTATAATGTCTTTATTTACCGCCGAGTTTCTACGTTGTAAATCAAATTTTTAAACAGCAATTTCGTTGGATTCAATAAAGATTGAACTTTGCTTTTTGCGTACTATGCAGGCACTTGTTTCACGAGCTATCACGGCACTCCTCCCCTTTAACTTGTGTTTTCTGGGGATGGACTAGGACTAGATTAAGTCACCTCCGATCCGACACTTTGTTCAGCAGACTCGATATCAGACAAAAGCTTGTTTTTCCCGAGAAATATTGGCACGGCCTGTGTATAAAGTATCACCAATGATATCCTCGGTGTAGCAATGTTAATATTACCGGTTTGCAACATTTTTTTTTTATAAGGGTGACAAACGAGCACACAGTCCACCTGATGGTAAGTGGATGCTGTGGCCCATAGACATCTACATTTAAACTTGATTAAGAATTAAAATTCAGATGCGCTGTCACCCCTGAGGACTAAGATGGAATGCCTCGATTCCAGTAAAGACGGGTCTCCGGTTCTCTACACTCACCATACGAAACACAGCAGCATTAAGCTGCTATTTCACTCTGGTATTCTGTGAGAGCGTGGTCCTGCCCCGGTCGAGCCGACTCATTCGTGCTACAACCATAATATAGCTGCAGCGTGGCTCTACCACGTATAATTTATTATTGATATGCAGAACCAATCGTGTTGGTGATAGCACGCAGCCTTGTGGAGCACCAGTGTTAATAGGTCTTTAATCGGAGCACGCACTGTCAGCCGCGAGTGCACGCCCGCTACGCACACTGTCACACTGTGCATGTGCGTGTCCAACCACATACAAAGCTCGACCGCACTCCCCAATTGCGAGAACTATACCTATGTCTGCGTAATATTGCAATGAAAATTTCATTTAATCTCCAGACCCGTCACGAAGGACAGCGGCTAAAGTTTTTATCTGTCCAGGGTGTGGGGATTAGAACAATCTGTGAAAGGTTATATTTGAAGCACCCCTGCCTTATATGCCCAGAAGAAGCTGAGAAGAATGGGATTAGGTATGTACGACATTTTTACGTCAGATATGTACAGACAGTAAATAAAACAATTTTTTATGATTCAATTTTATTTAAGGCAAATATACAGCATGACCCTATATGAACACCCTGAACCCAATATTTCTTACAAAATATAAACAATATTATTCATTTGCCATACATAATTTTCATCACCCCCTTCCCCATTATTTAAAAACCCCTCTACCCTACCACATAGAAAACTGTACAATTGTTCAATTCACAACAATTAATTTATTTGTGAACATTCCTACAACATTTTCCTGATCATATAATTAAGGATGCCGCCGTTCTTAAAGTACGTGAGGTCGACCTCTGTGTCGAAACGCACCTTCACCTGGAATGATTTCCCGTTGTCCATCTGGAAACAGAAACAATATTAAGTGTTTGGACGATGTAGTGTAGTGACTACATAAGAGTATCCACTCAATCAATTTATTTAAATTTAGTTGTGTTAAACTTATGAGCCTTATTCCCTGACTATAAATTACCTAAATACTATAAGAGACTTTATAACATAAACTAACTTTTAACTCTATGACTGCACTACAAATATAATGTTTAACGAATTCTATAAGGAAATATGTAGATGTATATAGACGTATACTACATTAATATACTGACTAAATGTAGAAGTTACAAAATTGTGACATTAAAATTACTGTGGGGCGGAGCAGGGTAAGGTTTCGGCACCATAGACCACATACATACCCTTCTGATATAGTATTATTTGTATTTCTTGTATTTCTAAAACTGGTAAAAAAAGAAATTAGTATTAAAATGTCTTTTTATTTTTTCAAAATGCCGTGGAAGTTTTAGTGTGGCTCACGGTGTCCTCCACTAATGTAACGTAACGTCAATGGTGTGTGTAATAAATTGAAATCAATAATGGGTAGATTCTTTCACCTAAGCAATTTCATGAATCGAAAAGTCTTGTACGTACTGTATTATGCACTGGCTGACTCGGTAATCAGTTATGGATTGAGCAGTTAAGGGCTAACATTCAAAACACAGTTACATCGTATAAAACATTTACAGATTAGACTACTTAAGTATTTAGTAAGTAAAAAAGTAAAATTACAGTGTAAAAAAAATTATGACAAATTATTTAATATATGTAAAATACTTCCAGTGCATGAAAAGGTAGATTACCTAACTGCTTTAGAACAATATAAAATAAATAAATTTAAACAACCTATAACGCATAAATATCGTACCAGGCAAGTTGAGAAGGGTAAATATGTGATACCACATATAAGAAACTATTATGGTAAGAGAACTAGGCAATATTTAACTCCGCTAATATTCAATAGAATAGATTTTATAAGAGATACGTCCAAAGACATAAGCACTGTAAAATTAAAGAAAAGACTGAAAAATACATTCCTATGAAAAGTATAATGTAATATAATAAGTATTAATAAGTATTAATTAAAGATAGAGATATTTATTGTAATAAATATACCTAAGATAAGTATGTATGTAACAAAAAATACATATTAATGTATAACAAAAGAGCGCCATTATCGCCAATAAACTGTTGCACAGTTTGGCGATGTTTATTATTATTTTAAATCTGTGTATTTAATGTTAATAAGGATTTAAAAAAAATACCTACTATATACTAAATTCAGTTATAAACAGGACTTGTATAAATATATATGTTGCAAAAGACAACAGAGGGTAATAAAAAAGGAAACGGGATTCCGGGTGTCAACCCCCCTACTGAGTTAGCAACTAAGTAAAATTTCCCTCTATGAGGGAATCCTTTGTGGTGTCATATAGTGAAGTCATTAGCCTATTTTAACTTAGTATTTAAGCCATTATATCATGTCATTTATTAAATGAACTATTTATACGGATTTTATCGCATTTAATTTACTTATTTTTAATTACCAGCGTTACGGGTGCTTTCCAGCACCCATGGTCACGGAGGACTGAGGTGCAGGTGGAAGAGACGTCAATCACTGTCCGATCTTTCTAATCCAATCCGCCTTTTGTAGTCATTTTGTTATTTACAGCCTATATACGTCCCACTGCTGGGCACAGGCCTCCGACCATTTCCGAGAGGGTTTTAGGGCAAGTAATTGTTCGCCGCGCTGCCCCAATGCGTGTTGGCGAACTTCACATGTCTTCGAAATATTTTTTTCTTATTTCTCAAACATGTAGGTTTTCTCACGATGTTTTCCTTTACCGCACGTGGTAAATCAACACTATTGGTGCCGGCGGGGATCGAACCCGGGTTGCTCGCATACCGTGAAATTTACAGCGAGCGCTAACCATCTGAGCTACCTCGGCTAGTTTTTTGTTAAGTTGTAAAAACAAAACTATAAATAAATAAATAAATAAACATAGCAGTGTTATGTTTTGTAACACTCACGCGCCTGTCACCCAGAGGAGTAGGCAGAGACTAAAGACTTCCAATTAGCACGATCCTGACATACCTCTCTCGGCTCCTCCACATTCATATACCTACGCATACATGCTCGTCGGTTAAGGGTACTTCTTTAACATCTTTAATATCCAATAACCGTACCAGCCCAGTATACCGGTAACTCACGTGCGCTGTACCCGTATTTACCATCAGTAATTTACCCCACCTGTAAACTGTAAACCCATGAGACCCGTACGCTATTACCTTGGCATACGGGACTCCTGGAGTTAACCAGGAACAAAGCAAGCTGGTGACTCACCTGCACAGTGGCGAGGTCTTCAGGCCGAAGGTGGTCGGGCAGCAGCACGCTGTACTGCTCAGTTCCGGTGAGACCAAGTGCACTTGCACTGTCCCCGGGCAGGAACTGCAGCGGAATGATCCCCATGCCCACCAGGTTCGATCTGTGGATGCGCTCGAACGACTCCGCTATCACTGCGCGGATACCCTGCGGGGGACAAAATGCGAGCACAATCAAAGAAACTTTAATAAAATATACAAAATCTCCACGCCACCTTCCGACCCTTCCCCATTCCTCTCTACTTGCCCTTGTGATAAGAGGCTACTGTATTCCATGGACACGTCGACATTTTCACATGGTAGAGCCATGCTGTAGCTATATTAGTGATATAGTTGTATTACAAATGGGTCGGCTGGTGGGAAAGACCACGCTCTCACAGAAAATCAGTGTGAAATATGTGTAGTATGGTGAGTGTAGAGAACCAGAGACCCTTTTTACTGGAAATGAGGCATTCCATCTTAGTACTCACGGGTGACAACGTATCTGCATTTTGATTCATGATCGAGAATAGATGTAGATGTCTATGGACCGCAGCATCCACTTACCATCAGGTGGACTGTGTGCTCGTTTGTCACCTTATCCTTTAAAAAAAAACACCTGTAATCAGCTTCAAACAAATAAGGCAGATGCAATGTCACACATCTGAGGACTAGACCTAAAAAACGAACGTACAGTCCACCTGATGGTAAGTGGCTACTGCGATCCGAGGACACCTGCAGCCAACTTCATACAAATAATCTACGGATGAGTTATGCACCTCTGAGGACTTAAGTGGAATGCTTTACAGCCTGTGATTATACGGGCTCTGTATAGTCTATATACACTTCAGAACAGAACACACATGTGAACGCATTGCTATTTGGCAGTAAAAATGGATAAGGATAAAGGTAGCTTACGAATAATAAACACTAAAAAGTTTGCTGTGGCCCATAGACATCTACATTTAACCTCGATTAAGAATCAGCGTATAGATACGTTGCCACCGCAGAGGACTAAGATGAAATGCCTCGATTCCAGTAACACGTGTCTCCGGATCTCTGCACTCACCATACGAAACACTTTTTTCACACACGTTGAGCTGCTATTTTACACTAGTATTATGTGAGAGCTTGGTCCTATCCCGGTCGAGTCGACCCATTCATTCTACGACCATAATATAGCTGCACCATAGCTCTATCAGGTATAAAACTACTCCTGTATTATCATTTAAATAATAGTTTGAATTGTATTGTAATGCATATTAGCCACGCAAATTGGTATTGCGCCGGAACCTACACACATTAACGTCCATGTGACATCATCCGCAATCAAAAAGTACCGTGACAATTTTTTTTTAATTTATATACTTATATTATTGATGTGAAAGTAACTCTGGTCTGTCGCTTTCACGTTTAATAATTTAATTTAACTATTTGAAAAATTTATTTCATTATTAGATTTCAATATTTTTTTTTAAATTTAGCCTAATTTTTAACTCCACTCATATAATCTAAATCAGATATAAGTAGAATCGGTTTCTGAGTATGTTGTCTAATTTCACGAGCACGGCTATTAATTATTTTTGTACTCATAACACAAATACGATACGCAGCCTATTTGATGTGATTTGATACTTCGATTAGAGTCACTCTTTTATTGTAATAATTAATTGTAATAATTATTGTAAATTAAATATATTTTAAATAAAAAGCACCGGGTGAACAAACAACAATATAACTTAGCAAAAATAACAAACAAAACGAGATAACGAGAAAAAATAACAACAAAAATGTGCGTATTCACAACTCGATATGAGTACTCGCCCGGCCAGTGCTCCTAACAGTACCGAGTGTTTAAATGTCACGAGATTATTTCACCAAAATGGCGGCCAGGCGCATTATCAATTTGCGGGGCTTATAGATGCTGTGATTTTGTGAATTAAAAATGTCAGCGTAAGTGAACTATTACAGGAAACGATGTTAAAAGTGCTTCGAAGGTGATATAAATGCCAAAGTTTTTTTATCCACTTGGGCGATTTGAGATACTATAGTCATAAGCTACCAGCTAATAACCGAGCACAGCAACAGCTGTCCTGAAAATATTCAAAAACTACGCAAAGTAATAAGTAGCATTAGCAAATTATTAAGAATTAGGGAAATAAAATACACATCAGACTAGGCTGTATGGTCTAACACCTTTGCCTGCATTAATTGAAAAGTAACAATAAAGTAAATAACTTATTTTCTAAACAGAGCTACGCATAGAAAATCTTACCAAAAGGAAAGGTCCCTTAGCAGCCCAGTCTCGGCTAGATCCGGAACCGTAGTCCTTGCCCACGATTGCTATTAGAGGCACATTCTCCGACGCGTATCTGTGAAAAGTTTATTTATTTATTTATTTAATAGTATGTACACACTTACTTCGATAGGAAAATGGTAAAAAGAATACACATCTGTAACTTTTACAGGTCGATGAAGAATACAACCAAACAAAAACTGGAGTCATTATTTTTTATATCCATTAAGATTAAGAATCAAAATGCAACGTTGACATCCCTGAAGACTAAGAAGAAATGCCTTGAATCCAGTTACAAGGGTCTGCGGTTCTCTACACTCACCATACGCAACACAGGAGCATTATGTCGCTATATACCCCGGTTGAGCCGAATTATTTGTGCTACAACCATTATATAGCTGCAGCGTGACGGTATCATGTATAAAAAAGGCTGATTAATGCTGCTGTACTTCGTATGGTGAGTGTAAACAATTGGAGACATTTTTATTTCAAACGAGGCATTCCATCTTAGTCCACAGATATAGCAGCGCATCTGCGTTTTGATTCATAATCGAGGATAAATGTAGATGTCTATGGACCACAGCAACCACTTACCAACAGGTGGACTGTGTGCTCGTTTGTCACCTTGACGCCTATAATCTATATATAAAAAAAATTATGCGTCTAACTGCGTACACATGTACAAAGTGAAACTTGTTTACGATATATCATTCTTTTTTTATTTTATATAGTATACTCATGCAACTTTGGCGATGAAACATTACAAGTAACCGTGACAAGAAAAAGTGACTTTTTAATATCGTACTTAGTTTTTCAACTACGTCGATAAAGAAGTTTTACTTCAAAGAAAAAAAACTGAAGACAACAATTTAAAAGAGAAGTGGTCAGTAAGTTACCTTTCGGCTGCGTCGAAGATGTCCATGAGGTCCCCGCTGGGCACGTGCGTCGTCTTGGGCCCAGGCGTGGGACTGAGCCGGTTAACAAGCCGGATGTTAGCGAACGTGCCGCGGGACATCACCGCGTCATTCCCGCGACGCGATCCGTACGAGTTGAACTCGCGCGGCGTCAGCCTAGGGGGGGAGAGGGGGAACAAAAATTTAAACAAATAAATATGTTAACTTAGGCCTCTCAATATATTTACGAAAATTTTATGTATGTACACAAAAAAATAAAAATAGTTCTCATATTTATGCGAACACTACATATTGAATTTGACGACTCCGTGGCGCAGTGGCTTAGCAATGAGTGGCTGCGCTTGGGGTCGCGGGTTCGAATCCCGCACGAATCAAATATTTGTATGGCCTGCAAATAGTTGTTTCGGGTCTGGATGTTTGTCCTTGTGCAATTTATGTTTGTAAACTGCCCCCACGATACAGGAGAAAATCTTAGTATAGGGGTAACGTTTTTTAAAAAAAAATTGAATGAAACCACTTTAACGGATTTTATTGAGTTTAATTGTACCCATTTAAATTCCCAGTGGTTTGAATGCTTTGCAGCAACTGTGGTCATGTAGGACTGAACTGATCGACATCCCGATGTCAAATATACCCAGGTAAACTTCGACATTGAGAAGTCAAAAAAAAACGTAAAAAATATTGATATACATTCTGTAAATACTAAAAATATACACAACTTAGATTAAGGATCTGCTAATTTACGGTATTTATGGGTATGCATAAAACAGCAGAGTTGAGGAGAGGTACCAGCCGGAATGCTCGGGCCAATCGAGATCAAATCCAGTCAGAAAGAGTTGCTATGGTTGTGCGTGCGAATTTCTCACTTCAGACAGTCTCCGAATGTGGCGATGATCAATCTCGTGAGTTTCAACGACTCCAAAACACAAGCGTGTCTTTTCACCGCTAAAAGGAGCCCGCTCACCTTAGCTCCTACTTTCCGGAATGTATCCTTAGAATACACAAACCGCCTTCAAGTGTTTGAGGTGGAATTTCTTCCGAATCTCAACTATGGGCGGTAAATTGAGTCCAGGGCCAAAGCAGCTACAAGAAAACTAGGAAACTAGGTGCAAAGGTGCAGAAGTACTTAACGGCGTTGGGCAGCTTTTTACCTTATACAAAGCGCAAATCTGGTTGTGCATGGTCACATAGAATACTGCTGTTACATTTGGGCAGGTGCTGCAAAATACCACCAACCAGCGTTGGACTCAGTGGGGAGAAGTGCTAATAGGTTCATTGTTTACCTTGATTTGGTTGAATACAATCTAGTCAGCCTCGAGCACAGGCGCAGAGGGGCCAGCCTCTCGGTATCCTACAGGATGCATTTCGGCGAGTGTGCGCAGGAATTGCACGCATTAATTCCTCCCTCTCCTTTCCACCATCGGCCAACCAAACGGTCGGGACGGGTCTTCACCCCTTTGTTGTCGAGATTCCACGCAGAACCAAACGGTCTGCTTCTTTCTTTTAATGCGTACAGCAGAGGAGTAGAATAATTGGCCGGCGTCTATTTTTCCGTCCGAATACAATCTGGGCGTCTTCACCAGTTACTCAGATTCAAAAGTATAAGTAATTCCTTCATGGGGCAATGTATACTTTTACAACAAAGTCCTAGAAAATATCAAAAAGCAACAGTAGCCTAATGGCAGGGCGCGGACCGCGAACTCAAAAAGGTCGTGGGTTCGAATCCGCTATTCGACTACTGGCGTGAACCACTCGTAACACAAGCAATTTAAGCTTACCACGAGTGGTTAAGGGGAATATTAGTAATGTTTATAGCTTTGTTAATATTCTTTAAAAAAATATAAAAAAAATAAAAATATGTATATTTTTTATAGGATAAGGGTAACAAAAACGAGCACACAGTCCGCCTGATGGTAAGTGGATGCTGCGGTTCATAGACATCTACATTTATCCCCGATTAAGAATCAAAACGCAGATGCGTTGTTCCCCCTGAGGACTAAGATGGAATGTCTCGTTTCTAGTAAAAATTATCGCCGGTTCACGAAACACAGCAGCGTTAAGCTGGTATTCTGCGAGAGCGTGGTCCTTCCCCGGTCGAACCGAACCATTCGTACTAAAACTATACTACTAATATAGCTGCAGCATGGCACTACCACGTAACACATATAAAAATACCCGCTGAGTTTCTTGCTGATCCTTCCCAGGACAGACACTTTTTCCAATCAGTGATAAAGCTAGAAGGACTTTCAATACGTATTCATGTAATCTTTTTTTTTATAGAAGAGGGGGCAAACGAGCATGCGGCTCACCTGATGTTAAGTGACTACCGCCGCCCATGATCAACCGCAACACCAGGGGAATTGCAGGTGCGTTGCCGGCCCTTTAGACAGGAGTAAGCTCTTTTCTTGAAGGTCCCCAGGTCGTATCGGTCCGGAAAAATCGCCGGTGGTAAACTATTCCACAGAAGGTTGTACGCGGAAGAAAACTCCTTTTGAAACGTACAGTGGTGGACTGCCAAGCATCCAGATGGTGTGGATGGTATCGGGACGTTTGCCTCGTAGTGCGTTCACGAAATTTGGCGGCTGGGATTAATCCAAACAATTCCTCAGAGCACTCCTCATGGTATATGCGAAAGAAAATGCAAAGAGATGCAACATATCTTCGCAGTGCCAGTGAATCGAGCCGATCGGAATTTTTTACGTGGTAGAGCCATGCTGCAGTTATACTGTAGTTGCAGCACGAATGGGTCGGCTCGACCGGGGAAGGACCACGCTCTCACAGTATATCAGCGTGAAATAGCAAGTAAATACTGCCGTGTATCGTATGGTGAGTGTAGAGAACGGGAGAACCTTTTTACAGTAAACAAGGTATTCCATCTTAGTCCTAACGGCCGATCCATCTGCATTTTTAATCGTAATCGAGGATAGACGTAGATGTCTATGGGCTACAGAAACCACTTATCTTCAGGTGGACTGTGTGCTCGTTTGTCACCCTTATCCTATAAAAACAATCGAACCTTGGGAGTCGCCTAACTATTAAAAATAAATAGTTATTACACTCACCCTCTAGCAGCGAGATAACGAGCGGCAGGGGAGTTTCTTGCAATGGAGCCCGCGGGCGAGATGTGATCCGTGGTCACAGAATCACCTAGCAAGAGCAGGCAGCGAGCGTTCTCGATGCTTTTGATTGGTGGTAATTCCTGTTGAGGGAAAACACTCTTAACCAACCATAGCTTATTAGGCTATAGAAATCAAAATGGAAGTTAAAACATTTATTCATTCATTACAGCCGTGATAGCTCAGATAATTAGCGCTCGCTGTAAATTTCGTAAATTTCACAGTACGAGAGCAAACCGGATTCGATCCCCGCCGGCGCTAAAGAAATTTTTAATTACAATTTTTAAGTGCTGTTTTACCACGTGCTCGGCGGTGAAGAAAAACATCGTGAGCTAACCTACATGTCTGAGAAATAAAAAAAAATATTTTGAAGACATGTCTTCACATGTCGAAGATGGTATCTTTCCATGTGTGTGATTAGGTTGATTGGCAAATGGTTTAGATTCACAATTGGAATTGATTTTTTGATTGGTAGGTGGCGCTGTGGTCGAAATATATAAATCACCAGTGTGAAGCTGCGGGTGTGTACATATTTTCTATCTAAATAAAAAGAGGTAATGAAATAACGTTAATATACACACAGAAACTCATACATATAAAATCTTGGCTCGCCATAGATGACAATGGATTTCAAGGGTCGATCGATTCATTATTTACAGCCTATAAAAGTCCACTGCTGAACATAAGCCTCCCCCAAAGATAGCCTAATAGTGGAGATATTGCCATCGTTGTAATGTTACTGATGATTTAAAGATTTCACCTCTCAGTGGGTCATGTGCTCCTGGTAGATTATCTTCTATACATCCATCCATTACAGCCTATAAAAGTCCACTGCTGAACATAAGCCTCCCCCAAAGATAGCCTAATAAGGAAGATATTGTCATAGTTATAATGTTACTGTTTATTTAAAATTTCACCTCTCAGTGGGTCATGTGCTCCTGGTAGATTATCTTCTATACATCCATCCATTACAGCCTATAAAAGTCCACTGCTGAACATAAGCCTCCCCCATAGATTGTCTAATAGTGGAGATATTGCCATAGTTGTAATGTTACTGATGATTTAAAGACTTCACCTCTCAGTGGGTCATGTGCTCCTGGTAGATTATCTTCTATACATTCATCCATTACAGCCTATAAAAGTCCACTGCTTAACATAAGCCTCCCCCATAGATTGTCTAATAGTGGAGATATTGCCATAGTTGTAATGTTACTGATGATTTAAAGATTTCACCTCTCAGTGGGTCATGTGCTCCTGGTAGATTATCTTCTATACATCCATCCATTACAGCCTATAAAAGTCCACTGCTGAACATAAGCCTCCCCCATAGATTGTCTAATAGTGGAGATATTGCCATAGTTGTAATGTTACTGATGATTTAAAGACTTCACCTCTCAGTGGGTCATGTGCTCCTGGTAGATTATCTTCTATACATTCATCCATTACAGCCTATAAAAGTCCACTGCTGAACATAAGCCTCCCCCATAGATTGTCTAATAGTGGAGATATTGCCATCGTTGTAATGTTACTGATGATTTAAAGATTTCACCTCTCAGTGGGTCATGTGCTCCTGGTAGATTATCTTCTATACATTCATCCATTATAGCCCATAAAAGTCCACTGCTGAACATAAGCCTCCCCCATAGATTGTCTAATAGTGGAGATATTGCCATAGTTGTAATGTTACTGATGATTTAAAGATTTCACCTCTCAGTGGGTCATGTGCTCCTGGTAGATTATCTTCTATACATCCATCCATTACAGCCTATAAAAGTCCACTGCTGAACATAAGCCTCCCCCATAGATTGTCTAATAGTGGAGATATTGCCATAGTTGTAATGTTACTGATGATTTAATAATTTCACCTCTCAGTGGGTCATGTGCTCCTGGTAGATTATATTCTATACATCCATCCATTACAGCTATAAAAGTCCACTTCTGAACATACATTCATCCATTACAGCCTATAAAAGTCCACTGCTGAACATAAGCCTCCCCCATAGATTGTCTAATAGTGGAGATATTGCCATAGTAGCCACGCTTGGCAGGTATGCTGGCAACCGCTGTTTTTTATAATTTTGAGTTACCAGGAAGATGCTGCTGCCCATCTCCTGTTTCTGTTTCGCTCTGTCGCCTCTTACGACACTCACCGGACAATATTGTATAGTGGATATTCTTACACACATAAAATTCTATAATACACAATAGAATGGCTATCAACCTTATTTTGTACGAGGATTAGCGTCGCCATACTCGATTCGCTGTGTTGACAGACTTAGTAAATTTACACATTCAGACTTTTGATTAATGTTCAAGACCATCATTTAAAAATCGTTTAAATTTTAATACATATTTATTTGTAAATAGGGTGCAATTTAGCATTTTCTAAATAATTTGCATGCGAAATTTGGAAACCATTGTAACGTCAAAACGCATCTCGTGTTGTTGACATTTTTTTTGGTGGCTACGCGGGCTCCGCCCACTCCCCCGTTCTATTATGTATGTATTTATAGTATTCTATGCGTACACCGCAGAAACACGGTATCTATACAAATAAATATATTAATTCAAATGTCTGTTTGAAATGACAAAATTACAAATTTCTAACATACATACATACCGTACGGTGTCGGTCTATTTGTTTGTTCCGGCTAATCTCCGAAACGGCTAGATCGATTTTGGCGGCACTTTCACAGTCACATAACGAACGATGTATAAGAAGCTATTTAGGCTACTTTTATTTAAGAAAAATAATTATGGTATCGCGCAAAAAAAAAACTCACGAAGTCAAGTCGTGATAAATTCCACAAGAACGAAGTCACGGAAAACAGCTAGTAAAAAATACAATAGACAAAAACAGCTCACCTTCGTCATACCATCGAAGAACGGCGGTTTCTTTATATAAGTGGAATTGGGGTCCCAGCTGTACAGTTTCCCCTGCGGGATGTCTAAGGCTCGCCAAGCGGGAGAACCCATCCCGATTTTCTCGTACACCTGTTACATTTAACCAAGAATTACATTCAATCCAGTATTGTATATCGTGCTTTAGAAAGAGATAATCGGCTAGCTTCAGCTTTATAGATAGCTACCAGTCCGGCATCTATTAAGAGCTGAAAACAATGAGGGCTAATGGTGACAAAGTGAACAAATTTGTTAGGGACATGATCACACAGCGGTATCATCATTGAAAAGTTGCGTTTTTAAATAGATCAAAAATCGGTTTTAAGTGTAGGTATATATATACACATAAAACAATGTTTCAGTGCCGTATTCCCTAATTTTTAAAACATTTTAAACTTTTTAATTATTCTACATTTAGGAATATACGTAGATTTTGTAATCCAATTAAGGTGCGTGTTTGGTCAAAATGTTTTGAGAAAATCTAAGTTTAAATTTAATTTTAATTTTAAATTAAAATGGATTAATATTAAGTTTTCTCGGAGTGTAGAAGATTAAGCGGACCGAATACTCAAGGTCGTTCGCTAGGAGTAGCGCCCTAATATAAAAAATAAAACTAATACTTCATAAAGAAACATTAATATATTCACTTTGCTAACAAATTCACCTCTCCCGCTATAAAATCTGTCAAACATTTCACCTCAATAAAAAGTGACGCCGCTATGGCATATATGTGGCAGAAAAAGTTATAGATGCCCATTACAAAATATTTATTAATATTGTAAAAACTTGCTAAGGAGCTTATGGGTGACATCAATTTGCACAAGCACAGTTTTTTTTTCAATAGAATTAGGGTGATAAACGACCACACAGTCCAGCTGATAGTAAGTGGATACTGTGGCCCATAAACATCTACATTTATCTTCAATTAGGAATCAAAATGCAGATGCGTTGCCAGCCCTGAGGAGTGATATATAAAGCCTCGATTCCAAAAAAAGGTTCTCCGGCTCTCTACAGTCACCATACGAAACACAGCAGTATTAAGCTGCTATTTTACGCTGGTGTTCTGTGAGAGCGTGGATCTTCCCCCGGTCGAGCCGACCCATTCGTGCTACAACCATAATATAGCTGCAGCGTGTTTCTACCACGTAGTAAAGATAAAGTAGCCAGCCTTGCGGTTTTTTACAAGATTCGCTTCCGCAGAGTGTGTGCAAGAATTGCATGACTTAAGTCGTCTCTCTCTCTCTCTCTCTCTCTCTCTATTCCATCATCGTACCACCAGAAGTTTGTCTGGTCTCCCACCGCTTTGTTGACGACATAGCACGTAATCAAACTAAATGGTATGGTTCGTTGTGCAAAATGCGTACAGCAAAGGAGTGGAATGATCTGCCAGCATTTGTCTTTCCATCCGATTGTATGTAGATATCTTCGAGGCAAGAGTGAACAGGATTTTGTTAAGTTCTGTTATATTGTAAACTAACGGTGTTCACAATCATACCGTGCTATATACTGGATGACATTTTTTACCGTCTAGAAAAAATAGGGTGTAACATGTGAATGGAGTAGAAGCTATGGCACTGATATTTTACAAAAAAAAAAATAAAAACAAAAAAATTGAATTAAATAAATAAATTAACTAAAATTTATCGAAATCCAAATCATATCCACCCTACTTTACGAAAGGCAATACAACCATAAATTTGGTAGGCATCTTTGACCTTGTCACTTCGCAGGGTCACAGACTCAAGGGCAGGGCAAATTGTTAAAAAAATTCAAACGTTTAATTCAAATTTTTGTTTTTATTTTCTGTAAAATATCAGTGCTTTATGCTTCTACTCCGTTCGTATGTTACACCCTATTTTTTCCAGGTGGTAAAAAAGGTCACCAGTATATATTTGTAGTGAACCCGAATGCACCCTAATGACTACGTAAAAAGCAGAATTTTCGCGTAACATTTCACTTCTGTACATGTAGGACAATTCGTTCATTTTGTGGCTTATTTTATATTGTTGCATTCAAATTACCTAACCGAGCGATGGAGATAAGTGAGAGTCGACATTAGCATCAAAACAATATCGATCCATTTGCGTCAAATTAACAAGGTAAAAAAGCTTGACAAGTGGGTGCCCCACGACCTCATGATCGCGAAGTACGCGTCGAGACGTGCCTTGCACCGCTCAACCAAATAAAACCATAGCAACCGCTAGACTGACACGTCAAACTGACGCCGACAAAAACGCACACAGGTATGAGTGACGGAGACGTCGTCCTAAAAAATCGATTAAGTATTTTTTTCTAAAGCTCGATAATATGTAATAATTACTTGTAACTGTACTTTCTGCGAAGAAACACGTAAATATTCGCAATACATATAAGCAATTGGCGCCTAGTCGCGGTTTAAAGTAGAGTACAATGTTTATATAATATAACTCAAAACTTAACTAAGCTAAGCTAAGCCAAACAACACTAATCTAAGGTGAGCTTAATTAAGCTAAAGTAAGCGTAATTAAGCTAAGGTACCCTAAACTAAACTAAGGTAACCTAAACTAAACTAAGCTAACCAAAATACGAGCAAACCAGGTTATAGACTGCTATTTATACTACAATTAACCGTTTGTCAATCTGTGCTTACATAGCATTTCATCTTCCTCCTCAGAGGTGACAACGCATCTGTGTTCTTATTCGAGGATCAATGTAGATGTCTATGGACCACAGCATGCACTTACCATCAAGAGGGTCGTGTACTCGCTTGTGAACCTTACTCTATAAAAGAAAATATAGAAAGAAACATTTCAATTTGGCACAGTAAATTTTTATGTGTCTATTAATTAAAGTCTATCGAATCACTACTGACCATAGGCCTTCTTCATAGATTCAAGAGGAAGTTATTTACCAAAGTTACCACACTTGGCAAGCGGGTTGGCAATCGCTATTTCTTTTTAGTCGCTATTAGGAAGACCTTGACGGCTCCATGGTGCAGTGGCTTAGCAATGAGTGGCTGCGCTGGGGGCCGCGGGTTCGAATCCCGCATGGAACAAGTATTTCTATGGCCTACTCAGATCATATAAACAACAGGAGATATGGCAAGGAGGCGTGGCACTTGCGAACGCATCTGGCCGCAAAGCGGCCTGATGACAGTTTCAGTAATTAGTCGAATGTCAACTTGTGACGTCTTCACTGCTCGTGATTTTTGACAAAATGCCGCGTTGTTCAGTGATTGTTTGCAAAAATAACAGCTGTATTGTGAATTACATGAAAGATGGCATCTCAGTTCACACGTAAGTACTAAAATATTAATGTTTTTCTTAATCAATTTATTAAAACATTACTTCGTGGTACTAGAAACACGATGAAAAACCAAATCAAATGTTTTCATTAGGAACAAAAACCATTGCTTGCTTAGTACAAATCGACCTGTGAATCAGCTGGTCTAATAGCGCAATGGATAAGTGTTTTACTGATACTCTCACTCACACGATAGTTTCGTGAAGCAGCCGCTGCCGGCTTTTGTGAGTGAATGATAGCGACAGATGTTTTTGTGTGAATAAGTTTTGTACGGTGCATGGTAAATGCACGCTGCGTATGATGAGATAAGGTTTATAATTGGTTGTGTAGTATGTTCTGATTTATAAAATGCGAGTGTGTGCGCGATTGTGTATCTATTGCTTTTACTGATGTGCATATGTAGTAGTTGGCGCGTGGTAGGGGCCAACTGGAGACACCGGGTTCCGATACATTTTCAACTACTGAGCATATCTCCTTATTTCTTATATCTATGATGGCCTACAAGTAATTTTTCCGGATCTGGATGTTTGTCCTTGTGCAATTTATGTTTGTAAACTGCCCCCACGATACAGGAGAAAATCCTAGGGGTATCGTTTTATAATAAAAAAACACGCTGCTGCCCATCTCCTTATATGTTTCCCTCCGTCGCCTTTTACGACACCCACAGGATGATATAAGGTAGTGGATATTCTAACACCAATCACTACACGGTCATTGACTACTAACGTATACCACTTCTATTAATATACATTACAGTATTCAAATGCATAACTTAAAAATACGTTAAGAACACGAAGGCATACCAAATAAGGTCATCGGACAGCACGAATGAATCCACAACGATGGTTTTTCAGTAATGACCAAAACTTTTTCTGTTGTCTATGGTCAAAAAGTAAAGTTACATCTTACATACGTCACTTCTGAGAGGGTTAACGGTTTTTATTTCAAAGAATAAGGATCACAGACAAGCACACAGTCCACGTGATTGGTAAAAAAGTAAGACTGAAGAACAAAGACGTCTGCATCTATCTCAGCTTAAGAATCAAAATGTCAAAATTATCACCTCTGACTCTGAGGACTAAGATGGAATGCCTTATTTCCAGTAAAAAGTGTCTCGAGTTCTCTACACTCACCATACGAAACACAGCAGCATCAAGTTACTATTTTATGCTGGTATTCTGTGACATCGTGGTCCTTCCCCGGTCAAGCCGACTCAATCATAATATAGCTGCAGTGTAGCTTTACTACTTAAGATTCTTATACTTCCCTTGAGAATTTTCTAGTTTCTCTATGTTTTTATAGATAAATGTTTAAAATATTATATCGTACAATAATGTTTTTAAAAAATATTCCGCTGAGTTTCTTGCTGGTTCCAAGAACAGAGGGATTTTTTCCGAATCTGTACAGTGGTTATGCCTAAATGATTTTCAGATAAGTATTCTTAAAATCTATTGAATAAAAACGATACCATTGTATTTGTAACACGGAGTCGTGCAACAAATTTATGTGTTTGTGTTTCAGGCGACTCACCTCCTTAAACATGCCGGGGATGACGTGTTTGTCTTCAACCTCCTGGATCTCGGCACGGGTGGGCCAGATCTCTCTCAGGAACACCGGGCTGCCGTCCGCCCTCTTGCCTAATTAAATTATAAAATACAAGTTTTCATTTCAATCCAATTTTATTTTATTTATTGCCATAATACAGTACATAATATAATGATGTTATTAGTTACTAATGAGACCTTCCATTCTACCATGATAATGACATGCGATATCTTTATTTAGACGTATACACTAAATTATTATTATTATTACAGTTTAAATAAATAAATTATAAAAGAAACGTAATCAGAAAATTAAGTTACTGTTTAAAAATACTTTAGCGTCAAGCTTTTAAATTAAATAAATGTCAAAAATCGATAATTATTCTAAAATGTACAATATTTTTTATATATAGAATAAGGATGACAAACGAGTCCACCTGATGGTAAGTGGTTGCTGTGGCCCATAGACATCTACATCTATCCTCGATTACATATCAAAATGCAGATGCGTTGTCACCCGTGAGAACTAAGATAAAATGCCTCGTTTTTAGTAAAAAGGCTCTCCGGTTCTCTACACTCACTATACGAAACACAGCAGCATTAAGCTACTATTTTACGCTGCTATACTGTGAGAGCGTGGTCTCACCCCGGTCGACGCATTCGCGGTATAACTACATTATAGCTGCAGCTGCAGGTAGAGCACGTTTTCGTTTTTAACAAACCAGTCTTTTTTTTCTGTAACAATTTATATCGTGTTGTTATCAAGAAGACGTCCACCTACAGTATTAGTTTTTCCCTGTCGCCTTTTCGCCTATTACGACAGCAAGGTGAAGAAATATATGAAATAATTTTTTTGCAATTATTTTTTTAACCCTACTTAATTATATTATGAAGTCAAATCCTCTAAACGGGACTAACCCATATACAGCAGGGCATTTTTATAAAGAGATAAAGAAAGAAAGAAGAAAGAAAAGTATATCACTCACCCAAGGGCTGAGTCTCGAAGTCGATATCCACGGTCCCGGCGAGAGCGTACGCTATAACGAGGAGCGGTGAAGCCAAGTAGTTGGCCCTGGTGTTAGGATGGATCCGACCCTCGAAGTTGCGGTTTCCTGAGAGCACTCCACAGCACACCAGCTCGTTCTGAGATATTTATTTTTATTATTATGACATACGAGCACACAGTCCACCCGGTGGTAAGTGGATGCTGTGGCCCATACGTCTGCATTTCTATCCTCGATTAAGAATCAAAATGCAGATGCGTTGTCACCCCTGAGGACTCGTTTCCAATAGAAAGGTTATCCTGTTCTTAAATAGAATAATACCCAAATACTCAAACGCTACTCTTATTTTTTTATATAATTAGGACGACAAACGAGCACACAGTCCACCCGGTGGTAAGTGGATGCTGTGGAACATACGTCTGCATTTCTATCCTCGATTAAGAATCAAAATGCAGATGCGTTGTCACCCCTGAGGACTCGTTTCCAATAGAAAGGTTATCCTGTTCTTAAATAGAATAATACCCAAATACTCAAACGCTACTCTTCTTTTTTTATATAATTAGGGTGACAAACGAGCACACAGTCCACCTGATGGTAAGTGGATGCTGTGGCCCATAGACATCTACATTTATCCCCGATTAAGAATCAAAATCTAGATGCGATGGTACTTTTGATGACTAAAATAGAATGTATTCTTTCCAATAAAAATGTATCCGGTTCTCTACACTCACCATACGAAACACAGCAGCATTAAGCTGGTATTCTGTGAGAGCGTGGTCCTTCCCCGGTCGAGCCGACCCATTCGTGCTACAACTATACTACTAATATAACTGCAGCATGGTTCTACCACGTGTAAAAACTATTCTGAGAGTGTATAGTTTTTTCCCGGTCGAGTCGACCCATTCGTGATACAACCTTCACATAGCCGCACCATAACTTTAGTAAGTATGATTTTATAACCCCTGGTACATTTTGATAATAACCCCTGGAATAAGATGATCGCTTCCATGTTGCTTTAAAATGTTTTCATACTTAAATGTATTAAGTATAATATTGTAAATTAATGTTTAAAAAATACTCCCACTGGGTTTTTTGCTGAATATACCCAGGACAGGTATTTTATCCGAACCAGTGGTAAAGCTTAAATAATTTTAATCAATATCCTTGTAATCTATATTAAACTAGCTTGCCAGGCAGACGTTGTTCTGCCCTTTTAGACAATCCTTTGTCATGTCCTATTAAAATACTTAAATTCACAAAAAAACTGTGGGTCACTCATGTGCTATCCTATCTTTCAAGTTGGATCAAACTGCACACGGTGTGAAAATCTGATTAAAATCGGTTAAGTAGTTTTGGAGTCCATCGCGGATAAAGAGAGGGTGAGTGTAAGAACTATTTATATTAACTAGTTAGGCGACTTCCAACGGTTGAATTTTTCTAATAGGATAAATGTGACAAACGAGCACAGGGTGAGCGTAGAGAACCGGAGACACTTTTTACTGGAAACGAGGTATTACATCTTATTGTTCCCGGGTGACAACGCATCTGCATTTGTAAACGTAATCGAGTATAGATGTAGGCGTCTACGGACCACAGCATCCACTTACCATCAGGTGGACTGTGTACTCGTTTGTCACCCTTATTCTATAAAACAAATCACCCAGTATAATGGATTTCCGCAAAGTAACGCACGATTATAATAATTATAATTACTTTTGGATAGTAGATAGATAGTAGGGGGATAAGTCGCTCGCGTCCGTAGGCTCTGACCACCTATTCCTAGGCCCACCCTACACGTGTCCCCCGGGTGGTGCTAAATGAGCGACAAGCCGATAGCACAGACTCGGCTCCACGCCCTGGTAGAGGCGTAAAATATACCACCCTTTATCCGCACCATGAGGAACAATATAATAGAAATGGCCCCGAGTTCCCGGCGCCCCTTTAATGGGGCAGGGGTGCGAAGAATCTCCGGGAGGAAAACCGGCGACGAGGTTCGCCACCCGTCACGTTCTGTCTCCCGGAGAGGCGAAAAGTGGATTGCAGAGGTCCGTCTGGCTACGTTGAATGTATGTGGGGCAATGAATGATAAAATGGATGAAGTATGCGATATGATGAATGATAGAGGAATAGATGTGTTATGTGTAAATGAGACGAAAAGGAAGGGAAAGGATGTCACTACACATGGCATGTATACCGCATACTGGTCTGGTGTAGACGAGATCGAGCGGGCATGCCAGGGAGTAGGTATCATCCTTTCAGAAAGAATGGGCCAATGTGTGAAAGAGTATGAATGTGTAAGCCCAAGACTGCTGTGGATACGAATGAAAGTGGGCTTAAAGAAGTTGTTTGTGTTAGGGGTCTACGCCCCAGACATGTCTAAGCCCACTTATATCCGAGAGCAGTTTTGGGAAATGGTAAGGATGGTGTTAATGGAGTGTAAGGGAAATGAAAATATTATTATGCTAGGAGATTTTAATGGAAGGGTTGGGGTGAGGAGGCTTGGTTATGAAAGGATATTGGGAACGTTTGGTGATGAAAGTATAAATGAGAATGGTGAAAGTCTCCTCACCGTATGTATGGAAAAGAATCTTTTTGTGACGAACACTTGCTTTCGCCACAAGAGGATTCACATGTATACTTGGGAAAGAGGTGACGATAGAAGCATGATAGATTTAATAATTGTGGATGAAAGATTGAGGGGCGCAGTTGTAGATACAAGGGTTTACCGGGGTTCTAACGTAGGAACGGATCATTATTTGGTTCTATGCCGAATTAATGGTCTATTCAGGCGTTAGCGCCATCGGTCATCTGTGTCTACCACTGCGTTACAGCGTATTAGAACAGAAAGGTTACAAGATGAAGGTGAGAAAAAGAAGTTCAAATGTAGACTGAAAGAAAATATAAGTGGTTTGGATGAATTATGTATGAAGGAGTTAGACTTGGAGAATGTATGGCAAAATGTAAAGAAAGGTTTAGTGGATGCAGCTACCGAAGTATGTGGTGTTAGTAAGAGAAAGAATGAAAGGAAAAATAATACGTTATGGTGGGATGATGAGGTACGTATGGAAGTTGAAGCAAAGAAGAGAGCATGGCTAGATTTACTAGCAACAAAGGCTGGTAATTCTAGCGGTACGAATGATGATATTGAAAGAAAAAAGGCAGTCTTTAGACATCTTAATAAGAGAGTAAAAGAAGTAGTTGAAAGAAAAAAGCAAGAAAGAACGGATAAGAATGATAGAAGAATATCGGATAATTTCCAGGCAAATATTAAAATGTTCTGGAAACTTGTAAGAACTGCCAGGGGACATTCAAAACAGCCTATGATGAATGCTATAAGAGACGAGAATGGCTATATTCTGAATGATGAAGTTTTGAGTTTAAAGAGATGGAAGGAATATTTTGAAAGCGTGTTTATGAGTGAGGAGACAACGTGTGTACTAAGTGAAGTAGAAATTCCGAAAGAAGAGGAAAGAGGTAGCGAGATTAGTGTAGGTGAAATAATGAAAGCAATGAAAAGCATGAAAGCAGGTAAGGCTGCCGGATATGATAGAGTTTCACTCGAAATGCTAAGGGCTGGAGAGGAAGTGGTGGCAGGCCTGCTGCACACCTTGTTTAATTTATGCTGGGAACTGAAGCGGGTACCGGTAGACTGGTGCAAAGCCGTGATAGTCCCAGTATATAAGGGAAAAGGGTCGCAGCAGGACTGTAAAAACTACCGTGGCATCAGCCTTCTTAGCATTGTGGGAAAACTGTATGCTAAGGTACTGATTGAAAGGGTCATGAAAGAAACTGATGGAAAAATTTGGGATGTGCAAGCAGGATTTAGAAAGGGAATGGGATGTACAGATCAAGTCTTTTCCATGCGCATGATCGCGGAGAAGTTTTTGGCCAAAAACCAAAAGGTTTTTTGTGCGTTCATGGACTTGGAAAAGGCCTATGACAGAGTGAATAGGGATGTGCTATGGCAAACACTGAACTCATTTGGGTTGAGCGCTGGCTTGATACGGGCATTGGAGTCCCTTTATAGGGACTCTAGTGCTTGTGTTAGGATCAACGGGGTCTACTCGGACTGGTTTGACATCCATAAAGGTGTCAGACAGGGCTGTGTAGCTTCCCCGTGGCTGTTCAACCTATTTATGGACAGTTGTTTGCAAAATTTGAAAGTTGAAGAATGCGGATTAAGAATGGGTGAGTTAACCGTCAAATGCCTTTTGTACGCCGATGATCAAGTTATACTTGCGTCGTCGGCGGCCGAGTTGCAAATGATGGTTACATTAATGAACAGATCATTAAAAGAAAGGGGTATGAAAGTGAACGCAAGTAAGACGAAGGTTATGGTTTTTGAAAGAGAAGAAAGTAAAACGATTTGTGAAATAAGAATAGAAGGGGAGTTGATCGAGCAAGTAGACGAGTTTGTATATTTGGGCTGCGTATTTAGCAGGGATGGGAGATATGATAAGGATATAGAACGACGAGTGAATGCGGGAAATAGAGTAAATGGGGCCCTGCACTCTATTGTGAAGAGTCAAAATGTGTCGAAAAAGGCACGTATGGCAATTCACAATGCTGTGTTGGTCCCTACTTTAACATATGGTAGTGAAAGTTGGGTGTGGCAGAAGAAGCACGAGAGTAGAATGAACGCAGTAGAAATGCGGTCGTTAAGGAGTATGTTAGGGCTGAATCTTAATGACAGGGTAAGAAATTGTGTAATAAGAGAAGAGTGTGGTTTGCAAGATGATGTTGTGACCAGGATTAAGAAAGGAATGCTTCGGTGGTTTGGTCATGTGGAAAGAATGAATGAGGAAAGAGTGACAAAGAAAATTTATGTTGCAGAAGTGAATGGCAGAGTCGGAAAGGGACGTCCTAGGCGAAAATTTATCGACCAAATTGGCGATTTATTGAAAACGGGCCAAATTAGGAGTACCCTTAACCGACGAGCATGTATGCGGAGGTGTATGGATGTGAAGGAGGCGAGAGAGGTGTGTCAGGATCGTGCCAAATGGAAGTCTGTAGTCTCTGCCTACCCCTCTGGGTGACAGGCGTGAGTGTTTATGTTATGTTATGTTATGTTATAATTACTTTTGCTTGCATTCCCTACACGCAATGTCACTTTGACGTGTAATGAATGGAACTGCAGCTCACCTTCTCGATGGTGTTGGCGATGTTGTCATCTATGGGCCCCGAGTTGCCGATACAGGTCATACAACCATAGCCTACTATGTTGAAGCCCAACTTGTCCAGATATGGCACCACGCCGGATTCCTGTGAACATAAGGAAATGATAAGATGGATGGAAGCTCAGATGGTTATGGCTTAGCGGACAGAAAGAATGTGTCAGGTCTTTATGCGGAGCACACCAATTAGATAGTTGTATTCCCCTTTTACGCAAACATAAAATATTGCCGCTTCCAGCATTATACGTTTACGAAATCTATGTCTTTGTTCACAAAAATAGTAATTTCTTTGAAAAACACAACGATGTTGTAATTAGCCCTAATTATAGAAACACATAAAGTGTGTGTACCAAAGCAAATAATACAACTATACGCATAAAATGTATATTGTATGGCAATAAATGTTTGCAACAAATTGCCTGTTTGTTTCAAAAAAATGAATATAGGAAACCTTAAAAGTAAGTTATTTCAATTTCTTTTAAATAAATGTTATTACTCAATAAATGACTTCTTAAATGATAAATTTGACTCGCATTGTATTTATTGAATTGCTAAATTTAATTTTTTGGAATGTTTTAACTAAAAATATTATGAATTGAGTGATATTCTTGTTTTATATAGATTAAGTTTCCATAAGTATTGCTGCAAGTATCTTTATACTATATAATAATTAATGTCTTAGTTTTGTACTCTATTGTAAAATTATCTATCTGAAAATATTTGTACGCCGGAAACGGCAAAATATTTAGGATCGAAATTATAATGTACCATATTCTAACAAATAAAGCATCTAATCTTATCATATATTAGGTTCGATCCCGCCGACACCAATGAATTTGTAATTGCAATTTTAAGTGTTGATTAAGTGCTGATGTACTTGGCGGTGAAGAAAAACATCGTGACGAAACCTGCATGTCTGAGAAATAAAAAAAATATTTCGAAGACATGTAAAGTTCTCCAACACACATTGGGGCAGCGCGGCGGACACTTCCTTGTCCTAAAGCCCTCTCAGAAAGGAGAGGAGGCTTGTGCCCACTTTAACTTTTTTTTAAATTACAAATATATCGTCTATATATTTGTTTATTTATTGACTAGCGGACTTGGCAGACGTTTCTGTGACCTTACCGGGAAGTGGCGTGACGAGCTTCACTTGGAATTCACTCCGAACTTTTTACAATGTAAACAAAAAACGGATTATTGAACATAACAGTTACTACAACAGCCTATTAAAAGTCTACTGCTAAGTAGGCATTCTCAATACGTATGCTAGGGACCCCTGTCCCCTGGCATACGTCCGCCAAATATTTAGGTGTCACTCTAGACACAGGGCTCACTTTCAGGCCCCACGTCAAAAGAGTAACCCGTCACGCACGGTTTTATCTGAGTAGGCTCAACAGTATGTTGGGCCGACACAGTAAAATGTCCCTTCGAAACAAGCGTACCCTTTACAAGGTCTGTATACGACCAGTCATGTCCTACGCGGGCCCCGTCTTTGCCCACGCAAACCTTAATATTTTAAATGAACTCCAAATAGTTCAGAACCTCTTCTGTCGTCGAGCTGCGAACGCACCGCGGTACGTCCGTAATGCCGACCTTCATCGGGACTTAGAGCTCCCAACAATTCAACAATTTTTTAAAAACTCTCTGAGAACTTCTTCAAAGCCTCAGAGTCGCACCCAAACCATTTAATTCGTGAGGCAGCTTCTTATGCAGCCCCACCCCCCCTCTCGCTATCGTGTCCGCAGGCCGAGAAACTCTCTCTCGGACCCGCCTAATAAACTGTCAAACGACCTGAAATGTCTCCTAGCGGCTCAGGCCAACTCTAATTAAATTAAATTATTGTAATAACTAACAATAATTTGCCTTCGTAGGCACTCCCTCAGCGGCACTTAGCCGCCTGCGCCCTCTTTTCCCAAAAGAGGGTCGCTCATGATAAGACACAATACAGCTTAATCAGCCGGCTGCCTGTCCCCAAAGGCGGTTTTTAGAGGGTATCACTTAGGGTCCCCGGTAGGACAGTGAGCCCCTCATAACCACGATAGACCAGCTATCGTGGTATGCGTAATGCATTTTCCGCCTCCCTACGTATAGGGTAGCCCTTTAATTGCTTCGGGCGCAAAAAAAAAGTAGGCATTCTCCATAGATTTTCTCATTGGGGAGATATTTGCCATATTTTCCATGCTTGGCAAGAGGGTTAACAACAGCAGTTATTTTAGTTAAAGATGCTGCAGTCCATCTCCAAATCTAATTTCGATCTCATCATCATCATTACAGCCCTTCACAAGTCCACTGCTGAACATAGGCCTCCCCCAAGTAATGCCACAAAGCACGGTCCTGAGCCACCTGCATCTAGACTTCCGAGACCGCATCTTACCAGGTCGTCACTCCATCCAGTGGATGGTCGCTCTACACTACCAAGTTGCCACTCGAGAACAATTTTTCCCCATCGGTTGTCGGTTCTTCGATCGGACACTCCATTACTAAGTTAAGAGATGTTTATATATATCTCATTACATCACACATACATACATACATGTCATACATACATACGAACATCATCGCAAAAATTATCTTAATAGCTTCCTAGGACCTCGAATTGTCTAGATCTGATGAGAACTCGATTTTTAAAAACCGGGGTGAAAACAATAACCCGATTTTTTTAAATCATTGAATATAGTAGTAAATAACCTACGTGAGGCTTTCGCTCTGGTGCGTTATTCAATCTCATCATCATCATCATCATTACAGCTCATCAAAAGTGAACTCTGAACATAGGCCTCCCTGAAAAGAACGCCAAAAGGCGTTCCTGAACCACCTGCGCCCATCGATTTCCTGCATCTCTTACTACTTTACTAGGAAGTAATTGAACGAATAGACTTAATCTGGTAAGTAAGTATGTTATTAAGTTACCTTCAAGTAGTAGGTAACCACTCCAGAACCAGGAGACAGGGAAGTTTTGATGTACGGCAGGACGCTGAGACCATTCTCCACTGCTTTCTTAGCCAGGAGACCTGGTACAAATTAAAACATAAATTAAAACATTTCGTACTACTAGTGTTCAGCAGACCGGGAGAGTATTTCATGCCGGCACACCGCCCGCAACTTTACAAAGCGCAGGTCGGCCGCATATGGAATACTGTTCCCATCTGGGCTGGGGCTCCCCAGTGCCAGCTCCTTCCACTTTACCGTATCCAGCGCAGAGCGGCTCGAATCGTCGACAACCGAGTGCTTTCCGATCGGCTCGACTCACTGGCGCTGCGAAGAGATGTTGCATCTCTTTGCATTTTCTTTCGCATCTACGGAGAGTGCTCCGAAGAATTGTTCGGATTAATCCCAGCCGCCAAATTTCATGAACGCAGACTGCGGCAAAACTCTCGACACCATTTTTACCATTTGGATGCTTGGCGGTCCACCACCGTGCGTTTTACTAGGAACTTTCTTCCTCGTACAATTTCTGTCGAATTGTTTACGATTCCGACGATTTTTCCGGACCGATACGACTTAGGGACATTTAAGAAAGATGACCACTCTTTTTTTTAAAGGCCGGCAACACTCCTGCAAAACCCCTGGAGTAGCAGTTGTTCATGGGCGGCGGTAGTCACTTACCATCAGATGAGCCGCATGCTCGTAGCGTGAATGGTTTGGCTCGACCAGGGAAAGACCACGCTCTCACAGAAAACCAGCGTAAAATAGCAGCTTAATACTGCTGTGTTTCGTATGTTTAGTGTAGAGATCCGGAGACCCTATTTTACTTGAAACGAGGCATTCCATCTTAGTCTTCAGGAGTGACAACTCATCTGCGTTTTGATTCTTAATCGAGCATACATGTAGATGTCTATGGGCCACAGCATCCACTTACCATCAGGTGGACTGTGTGCTCGTTTGTCATCTTTATTCTATGAAAAAAAACCGGTAGCCACGTAGCGTCAGGTGGACTGTAAGTTCTTTCATCACTTCATTTTAATATAATAAAAGTATATGGTATACCCGCTGCAGATTATCATGATTGTAGTACGAATGGGTCAGCTCGGCCAGGGAACGACCGAGCCCTTACTGCATATTAACACAAAAAAGAGACATTATACTGCTGTTTAGTATGGTGAATGTAGAGATCCGGAGATATTTACTGCTTTATCTTCGGTAGAGACAACGCAGCTACATTTTGATTCTACCATCCACTTGACTGCCTTGTAGGTTTAATGCTCGTAAGCATGACTGCTGCTCATGAGCTCCCGGGTCGAGTCAAAACAAATTATTGGATTATTGACAAAAAATTCTCACTGGCAGCCCGGAGCAAGGAAGTTGGCGGTGATGTATCACACAACACCAACTTCCTTAGTAATTCCGTTGGTCCTGCAGTGTATTACATTTTTTTATAGGATTGGATGACAAACGAGCGCACAGTCCACCTGATGGTAAGTGGTTACTGTGGCCCATAGACATCTACGTCTATCCTCGATTACGCATCAAAATACAGACGCGTTGTCACCCGTGAGGACTAAGATAGAATGCCTCGTTTTCAGTAAAAAGAGTCTCCGGTTCTCTATACTCACCATACGAAACACAGTAGCATTAAGCTACTATTTTACGCTGGTATTCTGTGAGCGTGTTCCTTCCCCGGTCGAGCCGACCTATTCGTACTACGACTATACTACTAATATAACTGCAGCATGGCTCTACTACGTGAAAATGAATGAAGATTAAATAAATAAATAAATCTGTTTTAAGGCGGTGTTAAAATATAAATAGACACGTATATATACCCTATGAATGTTCGTTAATTGGTATCCAAGGTACCAGCAGAATAGCAGTGCTGAAACGAATTCTGAGTTGCAAATGATGGTTACATTAATGAACTGGGAATTAAAAGAAAGGGAAATGAAAGTGAACGCAAGTAAGACGAAAGTGATGGTTTTTGAAAGAGAAGAAAGCAAAACGGTATGTGAAATAAGAATAGAAGGAGAGTTAATTGAGCAAGTGGATGAGTTTGTGTATTTGGGATGTGTATTTAGCAGGGATGGCAGATATGATAGGGATATAGAACGACGAGTAAATGCAGGGAATAGAGTGAATGGGGCACTACACTCTATTATGAAGAACCAGAATTTGTCAAAACAGGCATGATAGTGAAAGCTGGGTGTGGCAGAAGAAGCACGAAAGTAGAATAAATGCTGTAGAAATGCGGTCTTTAAGAAGTATGCTAGGGTTGAATCTGAATGACAGGGTGAGAAATTGCGTGATAAGAGATAAATGTGGTATGCAAGATGATGTTGTGACCAGGATTAAGAAAGGAATGCTTCGGTGGTTTGGTCATGTAGAAAGAATGAATGAGGAAAGAGTGACAAAGCAAATTTATATGGCAGATGTGAACGGCTGAGTCGGGAAGGGACGCCCTAGAAAAAAGTTTATCGACCAAATTGGCGATATTTTAAAAATGGGCCACGTTAGAAGTACCCTTAACCGACGAGCATGTATGCGCAGATATATGGATGTTAAGGAGGCGAAAGAGGTATGTCAGGATCGTGCCAAATGGAAGTCCGTAGTCTCTGCCTACCCCTCTGGGTGACAGGCGTGAGTGTTTATGTATATGTATGTATAAACAAATTAGCTATAAACTAGAGCTGAGCTGAGCGATGACCGTCTTTTGCTTCAGCCAAAACATAATTTGTTAGACTTTTTATTTGTGTTGAATTTAATACGCTGTATTGTGCTGTGGCTACAATTAAACATCTACCCAAATTGTTTTTTTTTTTATAAAATTGCAGTAACTATGCGTGTATGCGTAGATATATGGATGTAAAGGAGGTGAGAGAGGTATGTCAGGATCGTCCGTAGTTTCTGCCCATCCCTCTGGATGACAGGCGTGAGTGTTTATCTATGTAGGTATGTTATATAGCTTAATAATCAAACTTACAGTCCACCTGGTAATTACCAGTTTGCTCATGGACAGCTACAACCAACTTCAAATAAAAAAAGTTACAGAAGTGTCGTCATCTCTAAGACTGAGATGGAATACCTCACAGCCTGAAAATTACTCTGGCTATCTCTGGCTTCAGACCGGAAACAGTAGTGCTGGTACTGCTGTGTTCTGGTGTTGTGACCCATTAGCTCGCGGCCTTGCAGCTGAGCCCTGAGTCAGATGAAGCTGTAAGAGTCGCATAGACTAACAGCACAAACATCTAGATACTAGATGTTGTGACCCATTAGCAAAGATGTCGAATAATTTCCCGACACCTAACTGTCGAACACAATCTGGGCATCTCATCATGATCCATTTTTTATTTATTTTTTTACTTTTAAATTTTCGGACTTCAAGCGCGAGCGTGCACTCAACCGCCCGAGTTACCTCTGGGTAAGGACTCGACTGAAAACCAGCGATATCACTGAGCCCGGTCCGTTTCGCAGTTTCATGCTGCAGCACAGGGTATTTTTTTATGTTTGTGTTTATGTTTTTTTCTTAAATTTATAATGTTGTTAAATTACTTTTAATTTAGTTTTACTTATGTTTTTGCCATTAATTACTTTTTACTTGTTGTGCTGCGTGTTTAAACTGGAATAAAATGCATTTCTTTCTTTCTTTTATTTTACTTTTACCTTATACGTGGTAGAGCCGCAACTGTATTATGGTTGTGGCACGATTGAATCGGCTCGACTGGGAAGGGACCGCGCTCGCACGGAATACCAGCGTAAAATAGCAGCTCTATACTACTGTTACGTATGGTGAGTGTAGAGATCCGGAGACCCTTTATTACTAGAAACGAGGCATTCCATCTTAGTCCTCAGGGGTGACAACGCGTCCGCATTTTGATTCTTAATCGAGGATAAATGTAGATGTCTATGGGCCACTGCATCCACTTACCATCAGGTGGACTGTGTACTCGTTGGTTCCATAAAAAAAGACGAGCGCAAGATGGCGTGGGCTAACATCATTTGATTATCAGGTAATTATTGTTATTTCAATTTTATTTTAATATGTCACAGGTCACAAGTCAACTATTCAAGCGAGGTTTTATTTCTGCAGTTTAAACACCTTAACATAAATACCACTACTAACAAATTGTAATGTGTATCTCAGTCATTTTTCTAGGAAGCTACGGAGTAGACAAGTGACCATCTCGCTACTCCAGTGTGTGCAAACTTCATTGAATCTCGACTTTTTATTTCAATTTTCTTTTTTTAAACTTCAAATTACGATCAAAAATCCCATTGGTGTTTGAGTATTTTTAATGTTGCAATATTACATATGCCAGAATAAATGGCCTTTAACTGAAGATCTTGGGATCTTACGGTCTGTTTACATCAGTCGCCCGTATTCTTATTTCTTAATATCATATAATTATTAATTCCCTCTTTTAATTTGTTTTGATATTTTGCTTGTTTGGCACCCTACCCTATAAAAAAATGCTGCAGCACGGGGTATTTTTAAATGTTTCGTTCTTAAATTTATAATGTTATTAAAGTACTATTAGTTTTATTTATCTTTTTGCATTCAAATACTTTTTACTTGTTGTACTGCGTAGTTAAACAGGAATAAAATGCATTTCTTTCTTTTATCTATAAGGCTAGGGTAAATAGGCTTTTTTTACACTAACACAGTGCGATTTACAATCTAAGGCTGCAGCACCACTTACCACCAGGTGGAATTGTGGTCAAGCACTGGCTTAAGTATATAGTATATGAGTAACTATATAAACTAAATTAAACTGCCACTTGACGACATATTTAGATAAAAATATGGAACCTACTCACACGGTCACCTAAGCAGTAAACAGAAGCGAGTCATGAAAACGAATGCATTAGCGCGAAGATCATACTGTCCAAATGTTCACTGATGACTTCAACCTGGGCGACATAAGTTAATGATAACAACTCACCAGCTCCCAACATCACCGTAGGGTTCGACGTGTTAGTACAGGAGGTGATGGCGGCGATGATGACAGAACCGTGCGTGATGGTGTAGGTGGCACCATCGCTGTACGTGAAGCTACCGGAGGCCGCTAACTGGGTAGGCGTGAGTCCGTATCCTTTGAAGCCGATCTGGTGAAGAAGATAATAACAATGAGAGCTAATGTTTTTACGCTTACTAGATGTCACTCGTTGGACTGAGGTGGAATCATTTGTTACCCAGATCACAGCGTCATCATCATTGTAAATCCTTTTAAACAAAAGTTTTTATGCATGTATTTACACTAACAATGTCTCAGTGTTATGTTTATTTATTTATTTAACAGTTTATGTACACAAATACTTTGATAGGAAAATGGTAAAAACAAAATTATGTACAAAGGCACTGCTTATTCCATAAAGAAATTTCTTGCAGCTGGCCTATTGAAGGATAGATGAAGGAAATAGAGGTAGTCAAAGTGTGCACTTCATTAAAAAATACAGTACAATACAAATATACAAACCTCCATATATATACACATACATACATACTCATACATATATATATATATATATATATATATATATATATATATATATATATATAACATATATATATATATATATATATATATATATATATATATAATAGAAATATAATATATTATAAGAAAAAAATATAATTCAATACATTATATTTTAATGTTACATATATGAATATCTACACATCACGAATTAATCATTATGGTGTGAATGATAATGCTCTTTAACAAGTCTTTTATGTTCTTATATAACAAGTCTTATATATTCTTTAACTTTGTACACATAAACATAAACACACGCCTGTAAACCAGAGGGGTAGGCAGAGACTACAGACTTCCAATTAGCACGATCCTGACATGCCTCTCTCGCCTCCTCCATATCTATATACCTACGCATACATGCTCGTCGGTTAAGTAAAGTAGTAAAGTTATAGCCTATATACATCCCACTGTTGGGTACAGGCCTCCGCTCATTTCTGAGAGGGTTTTAGGGCAAGGAATAGTCCTCCGCGCTGCCCCAATGCGTGTTGGCGACCTTCACATGTCTTCGAAATATTTTCTTTTCTTATTTCTGTGACATGCAGGTTTCCTAACGATGTTTTCCTACACCGCCGAGCACGTAAATCAGCACTTAAAATTGCAATTAATAATTTCATTGGTGCCGGCGGGTATCGAACCCGGTTTCGATCGTCGGTTAAGGGTACTCTTAATTTGGACAATTTTCAATATATCGCCAATTCGGTCGATAAACTTTAGCCTAGGACGTCCCTTTCCGACTCTGCCGTTTACTTCTGCAACATAAATTTGCTATGTCACTCTTTCCTCATTAATTATTTCTACATGACCAAACGACTTAGTTACAATACCTCAGTTTTTACACATTTTTAACTTTTTAAATTCTTCTACTTTTAGGAATATACGTAGTTTGGTTTGTACATTTTATTATTTCAGAAAGAAACAGTAATCTCTACACGTTTCTTGCAACTACCCCCGCTATGCTATAATCTGTCAAATATTTCACTTCATCCAAAAAGGTGCCGCCCTTGTGGCAGAAAAAGTCGTTGATACCCATTAGGGTAATTAGGTTAATTAGACAGAGCTGCTTTTGCCGACAAGCTGTTAAACAGTAGGCAGATTGTATCTTGAAATATATTGTACGAACTTTTTGTTAAATAATTTATTAAGTTCAAAATTCATCAAAATTCTGTAAATACTAGGAACATATACAAGTTCGTTATACCAGTTATTCGGCTCCAAAGAGTCAGTAATTCCTTCATGGGGCAATGTACATATACGCTTTTACAACAAAGTCCCAGTAAATTTAAGAAGACCTTATCTATCAAAAAGTGTAAAATATTTATTATACTACTAAAGAGTTCTACGTTACCATGATGTTTCTGAATTCGATCCGGGAGACATTACCTATTACTATGGTATATGTTTTTACCTTAGATTTGTACGTGCCCATGACATATTTTTGTATTGACTGAATACGGAAGATACTAAAATGTGACCAAGTTTAGAAAGCAACCAGCAGATTAATTTAGATTTCAAAATAGAGACTTTATAACAAACGCATAAAGACTAATTCGCAAGTCATAACATATGCATTATTGTTGTATACAATCATGCTGAGCTCGCAAATCTGGAACCTTGCAGAGTTAGTATTTTTGTACGTGATAGTTCGACTAGTGTTAATACGACGGTATTGCTTGCACTTTTATACGTTAATTTAGTTTTATTTGTTTTGTTTTGTATTTTTTTTTATTTAAAACATTACCTACCACACTAGGATTTTCTCCTGTACGGTGACAATTTACACACACAGAATACCAGCGTGAAATAGTAGCTTAATGCTGCTGTGTTTCGTATGGTGAGTGTAGAGAACCGGAGACCCTTTTTACTGGAAACGAGGCATTCCATCTCAGTCCTCACGGGTGACAACGCATCTGCATTGTGATTTTTAATGGAGGATAGATGTAGATGTCTATGGGCCGCAGCAACCACTTACCATCAGGTGGACTGTGTGCTAGTTTGTCACCCTATTCTATAAAAAAAATAACACAAATTACTCAAGAACAAACGTCCAGTCTTGGAACAATTATTTGTAGTCCATAAAAGTTACAGCCCACACAAGTAGTCCCACTGCTGGGCACGGGCCTCCTCTCATTTCTGAGAAGGTTTTAGGGCAAGGAAGCGTTCGCCGCGCTGCCCCAGTGCGCTTGGCGAACTTCACATGTCTGCGAAATATCTTTTTTTTTTCTTATTTCTCTGACAGGCAGGTTTCCTCACGATGTTTACCTTCCCCGTCGAACACGTGGTAAAGCAGCACTTAAAATTGAAATTAACAGTTTAATTGGTGCCCGCGAGGATCGAACCCGGTTTACTCGCGTATTGTGAAATTTACAGCGAGCGCTAATCATCCGAGCTAGCACGGCTCTTGTAGCCCATACCACAGAATCAATACATGTTCCGTGCGGGATTCGAACCTTAACGCAGTAACTTGTTGTTGAGCCACTGCGGCACGGAGTTGTCGTTTTATTTAGTAAATTATTTGAATACATTAATTTCACTAAGTTACTATTAATAAGTGCTTCGCATGAGGGTTTTTTAAATCATCAAATACTATACTATACAACAAACACATATAAAAATTACAGATGCTTGAATCAATTCCATCCGTCCATCCAACGCTAGCTGCAAGTTTCACAGAACAGGAGCAACCCGGGTTCGAACCCCGCCGGCACCAATGAAATAATTGCAATTTAAGGTGATACCTCAAAAATTTGACGATTTTTCTATTTCACATATTTTTTTAAGTTTTATATATAAGTTTACGATGATTGCGACGCGACTGGCTGTAAACTTTTCGAAAATGTCCCAAAAGGGTTGTATCTTTTGCATTAATTATCACGGTTGCAATTTCTTGTTATTTATTGAAATGCTACCAAGTGTAATGATGATCTGATTCACAATGCAACGAAATAGCGCATCATTTACTATATTATAATTCCTAGTCGAGGATATATGTAGATGTCTATGGGTGCGTTCGTTTGTCACCCTTTATCCCATAAAAAAACTCCTTTTTACTAGAAAAGAGGTGTTCTATATTAATTATATTTAATCTGTGTTTTGATACTTAACCGAGGATAGATTTAGGTGTCTATAGGCAACAGCATCTACTTACTATCACTTGGACTGTGTGCCTTTATAAAATGAATACAAACAGACGACTGTGACGAATCTCTATATAAATATCGATTAAGGAACTAAGAGAAATAAGCTGAGTTAAATATTTATTGACATATAAATTCCGTAGCACGTGACGCGCCGTCTTGTTAGTTTTTTTTTTCTTGTAGTGGCACGTTTGTGGGTGGTTTTCACCTCGGAATCGCCAGTTTGAGAAGGGTAAGTTTCTCTAATAATTATTTATTTAATAATTAAAATAAAATAAAACACGCTAGCGAGCCGTGGTAGCTCAGATGGTTAACGCTCGCTGTAAATATAACAGAACGCGAGTAACCCGGGTTCGAACCCCGCCGGCACCAATGAAATTGTTAATTGCAATTTTAAGTGCTGATTTACCACGTGCTCGGCGGTGATGGAAAACTTCGTGAGGAAACCTGCATGTCTGAGGAATAAGAAAAAAAATATTTCGAAGACATGTGAAGTTCGCCAACACGCATTGGGGCAGCGCGGCGGACACTTCCTTGCCCTAAAACCCCCTCAGAAATGAGGGGAGGCGTGTGCCCAGCAGTGGGACGTATATAGGCTGTAACTTTACTTTACTTTAAAACACGCTACACATTAAATAAAATGAAGTTTTACGTGGCATAATAGGATTAGCGTGACAAATGAGTAAGCAAACTATACCATATGATGGTAAGTGGATACGGTTTTCTTTTTATAGGATAGGTTGACAAACGAGCACACAGTCCACCTGATGGTAAGCCGCCCATAGACATCTAAATCTATTCTCGATTTACGAATCAAAATGCAGATGCGTTGTCACCCGTAAGAACTAAGATGGAACACCTCTTTTTCAGTAAAAAGGGTCTTCGGTCTCTACACTCACCACACGAAATACCGCAGCATTACTGTGAGAGCGTGGTCCTTCCCCGGACGAGCCGACCCATTCGTGCTACAACTATACCACGAATATAACTGCAGCATGGCTCTACCACGTGTACAAATACATCTACATTTATCCTCAATTAAGAACCTAAATGCAGATAGATGCGTTGTCACCCCTGAGGATTAAAATAGGATTCCTCATTTACATCAAAAAGGGTATCCCGGTCCTCTACACTCACCATGCAAAGCACATCAGCAGTAAGCTTCTATTTTACGCTGATATTCAGTGAGAACGTGGTCCTTCGCCGTTCGAGCCGACCATTGGTGCTACAACCATAATATACCTGGCTCTACCACATATAACGTATAATTTTCGTAAATAATTTTAAGACACTTGCGAAAATGAGGGAGCATATTTGGCTCCATAGATTCCGGGCCTTAGCAACACATGTTACACGCCACCGACTTTAACGTTCATAACATGTTGTGCTTAATTACAAAATTTATCAAATCAGTTAATTTAACTACGCAGCAAGTTGTCAACAGAAACATTAATTAAACGTCCCTCTAATGAGGAGAGCCCAAATTGAAGTGATGTTTTCGTTTATATAATCTAATTTAAGGAATCATTAAAGATGTCATTCATTTGGTAATTTCTTGGAACATATAGGTATAATTTAGTTCATTCGATTTAATATGAGTAATTTTGATTTTCTTAAATTTACGCGAACACTACACATTGTAATAATAACTATTATTTACGGATTTTATCGCGTTTAATTACTTTAATTTTTTTTTTTATTATTATCCCGACGTTTCGTCGAAGTCTGCAGTCTGTGAACATGTTCAGGATCGTCCCCACCATTACATCAGATTTGATAAACCACAAGTCCTCGCAAAAAAAAAACACCGATTCCTACCAAGGATGATACGTGAGGCTATTGAAATTAAAAAACATCCTAATTTCAATAGAGAAGATGGTTGGGTGCTGCCATCTGCTTGGGATCCTATAATTAACAAAATTAAACCCAAACCCAAGCATACCACTGCAAGACTTCAAGATACTGTAAGTTCGTTTTGCGTAAATCGGACCAAAAATTATTATTCAAAAACTGAAGGTAGCCGGGCTAACAATGACATTGGGACGTCAAACATCTCAGTCCCCCCCGTGACCATGGGTGCTGTAAAGCACCCGAAACGTCGGGATAATAATAAAAAAATAAATTAAAGTAATTAAACGCGATAAAATCCGTAAATAATAGTTTTATTCAATGAGTAATTTTTGTGGTGTATTCATTAGTTACAACAAGTGTAATAATGATTTCTTATTTCACTTCTTAGTAGTACCAGTTACTCGACTCCGCCGAGTCAGTAATTTATTCTTGGGGTGATGTATACGCTTTTACAACAAGATCCCAGAAAATATACAAAATTTGACGAACACAAAGTTCAAAAAGTTTATTAAACTAAGTTAGTATAAAAAGGGTTATTATAATATTAGGTGATCGCTACCAAGCTATTTCTATTTTTTTTTGTGTTGTTAATTGTAACATACATGATATAAGCTATTATTTGAAAAAAATTGTCCCGCTGGGTTTCTTGATGGTGTTTCCCAGGACAGAGATTTTTTGTGCGTGCCAGTGGTATAATGAAAAAAAGTGACTTTCAAGAAGTATTGTTATAATCCATACTAATAAACTTTCTGTTTCTATGTTTACGCGAACACTACACATTTAAATTAAACTAGTTTTTACGGATTTTGATCCGCATAATTAACTTATTATAAATTCTATAGTTTTATTTAAAATATGTGTAATTATTTCGACCTTCCATTAATTCCATACAGAATTGTTCATATTAGATACTTAGGTCATATATATACATGTGATTTTTGTTACTTGACGAAACTTCATCTTCATCATTTGTGATTTGGATAGACAACAAGAATTCAAATCACGAATAATATAAATTATTGGCTAAATACTCAAACGCTACTTAATTTTAAGATGTCGTCAGTCTCGTGCCGTCCCAGTCAATTTAACCTAATATTGAGTGATAAGTACGAACCCTTCTCGCTCGCGTACTGTGAGCAAACCGGGTTCGATCTCCGCCGGCACCAATGAAATTGTTAATTGCAATTTTAAGTGCTGATTTTACCACGTGCGGTGAAGGAAGACATCGTGAGGAAACCTGCATATCTCCGAGAAATAAGAACAAATAAATATTTCGAAGACGTGTGAAGTTCGCCAACACGCATTGGGGCAGCGCGGCGGACAATTCCTTGCTTTAAAACCCTCTCAGAAATGAGCTTAGGCCTATGACGGAGTGGGACGTATTTTTTTTCCTTTTTCATTATTTTAAAAAACGTTACCCCTACACTAAGATTTTCTCCTG